GTTCAGGATAACCATTTTCTCTGAGGACGTCCTTAATTTTGTTAGTTCCTCATCTATCACATTGTCAGAGCAGATCTTTCGCGCTCGTGATGTGAGACTCCGATTTAAATTTCTTTTCTGTCTGAGTGGGACGAAGCTGTAAAAGTGGGTGTATTGTCCCGTCCATGTTGGTTTTCTATATATTCGTCGTTGTAGAGAAACATCGTCTCTTCGGAGGAGTGCCACGTCTAGGAAGGCCAAATTATCATTTTCTTCAGTTTCCAACGTGAACTGAATTGATTCATGAGCCTCGTTGAATCTCTTGAGCAAGCTTGTCGTGNTAGACTCATTTGCTCTATTTCTGGCTTCAACGCTGTATTTTCTAATTTGGCCATAAATATGTCTGCTAGCAATGGTCCCAGTGGGGAACCCATGGCCACTCCGTCAATTTGACGGTATAATTTTCCATCAAATAGAAATTGAACATTGTATGTACATCTCAGTAGTATCTCCTTCAGGTTCTTCGTTGGTATTCATCAAGTGCGAATGGACCGAATCTGGAAACACTGCATAGACTCATTGCATGCACAAACATCTGCCTTTTGAAAAATCAGGATATAGTAGGCATAGGTTTGAATTAGACTGCATTTAAATTTATCTGATTCAGTGGAATTTGAATGAAAAATAACGTCCAATTATCATTGGTATTATCATAAATGGCAATCTTGAATGTATGCAAAACAAGTATGTCAGAAAGAGAAAGGGACGCGTGATGGCTACCAGAAGATATTTATCCAATGAAATATCCTAAGGTTTGTTGAAAAATTTGAAATTGTAATGAAAAACAGGGTTTGACGAATATGCAACGAGTTATGAAAATGAGGAATCCAACGAACCGTTTTGGATTTGCCTTCTCGGCAGATTGTATCAATGTTCCACGGCCGTAACTAGAATCAAATTCAAGATTAAAGTCAGCTGCGTTCGACAGACTTACCTTCTCCTTTTTCTTAAGCTCTGCTTCTTTTTCGCGCCAAGTTTTATCTTCTGTTTCTAATTGTTTCATTTGGGATTCCAGTTCAGACAAATCGGCGCTCTTAGACTGTGAAACCGAAAACAAAAATTAATAGGTTGAAAACAACTGTACCTCTTTCGCTTTTGCAAGCTTCTGCTGACAAGTGTTGTACTTTTGCAAGAACGCTTTATACTGCGTCTCGAATTCCGCCTTCTCCTTTGCCCAAGCCGCATCTCGCTCTAGCCGAGCTTGATGTCGCCATCGAAACAAACTGGGGGTATCAATGTTCGGATGAGTGTCATCCTCATCATCAGACACCTGGTTTGAGAATGAAAAAGAAACAATACACGTGAAGGAAGCTTGTTTCGAAGCGCATGTACCCGCGTGATGTGAACGAACCCTTTGAATCGGCAAATGACAACATTGCTGACATCATAAAAAAACTGATTACAGAGGATTTCATAGTTTGCTAATTTACTGATACAAATCACAGTATCTTTGTGATGGTATAGAGAGTGCACCATGACAAAATAACTGCACAAAATGTCTATGGTATGTACGACAAGACGGCATTTCTTAACAATAAAATTCGCTTAGTTCTGTATATTGGATATACAGCAGACCTGGTCGCCAATAGGGAGTCAGCCATCAATTTGTTGCCCAACGGTGAATGAGGTGAGCCTATACTGAAGAAGTCGACGTAGAATATCAGTTTCAGAACTCGAGAGCTCTATCGGGTTTCGTCTGGTTGGTGCTCACCACCGTACACTCAGCGCAAAAGGTGCTCCCTTCGGTTAGGGTATTCTTTTTTCCCTCATATGCACGGTCACAATTTTCGAGGGGCAATAAGTTATATAAAGGCATTTCTTATTTCAAAAATATGTGCGAAATGACAATTTTCACCACCAGAAAGTATTGTACTCGTGTGGACTGAACCGGATTTAATCAGTTCAAAAGTAAGCATACTGGTCACTCAGCGTTTTTAATTCGGCAAGGAAATTGGCAACTGCGATCAGCCAGCGATAGAAAGAGTCATGTAGGCTGCGATTATGTAACACCGTATTGACAGTAACCATGCTTGCACCTCTATTGGCAGTAACGATGAAGGAGCATCCAAGTTTTTTACGAAAATTTTTGAGTGATGAACAGCAGACAGGGTAAATCCTATAGTCAAGATCTGCTCTTCAGTGATGGCAACCGGTAACCGAAGTCCTGGGACTCAGAGTGGTGAACCAAATAAGGCCCCGCTAAGTCAGATGTGCTATTGAACCGGACGACAGCAAAGCTGTCTACAACCAAATTTTTGTGACGGTAACGGGGCTCGAACCTCGGACCAAAGCACGCCGGTGAAAGTGATTAAACCATTGTGCCCCTACCCTCCGGTCACATATTAGCTGCACTACAGTCACGACTGATGCGGGAATAACATGGTGAGAAGTGCGGTAGGAAGGGGAGAAGTGGAGGGTGGGGTCAATAACGAACGAATAGACTAGTTTGTCTTGATAAAAATACTTTTCGTAAATAGATGAGGGTGAGCGAAAGTACTGAACCTTGGGGAAAGTCGGCATTCACAGGGAATGGCCAACTCGGACAGAGATGGTTCGCTTGCAGAGAAAATTTGATACAGACGATACGATACCCGGAGGAAGGCCACACAGACAGCTTTACCACTAGACCCTGATACCAAACTCGATCGAAGGCTTTTGAAATATCAGGCGAGATCAAGCGGAATTCTCCGTGATTGTTAAGTGCATCCGACCGGGACTGAGGCATGAGTCAACAAATCATCAGTTGAGAGACACTGTTGGAAGCCATAATGGGGGTCGCTCAGCAGTCGTTCGGGGTCCAGGAACGCAAGCAGATGACAAGATGATGGCTTCAAATACTTGTACGAGGGCAGACGGGAGGGAAATGGGTCAGAAACGGTTTGGGTCAGAAGGAACACTACTTTGGGAAATAGGAAAATCAGTGTTACCGGGAGATCGAAAAGGGAGAAAGCTGGGGCTAAGGATATCCTATAAGGTTATTCGGGAGCAAGTGTTTTGAAGACAAAGGATGGTATAACGCACGGACAGGGCGGTTTTCATTGGTTAAGAGATCTCATTGAATGACCAACGCTCTCGGCATTAAAATGGCTTCACTGAGACCAAAATCTATACGGTTCCAACCTGGTTGCCGTGCATTCATTTGGCTTTGATGCTCACATCGCAATGCAGCTCTCCGAGTGAGCTCATATATCCTCGTCGACGGGCACACCAATCTAATCATAAACGTTCACATGTTTGAAGTCAGTTCAGTTTTTACAACTATTAACCATGCACTCCCGTGCGCCGGTTTTGGTTGCTGTATTTTGGTGCCCCATTTGGATAAAAGAGCAGAATGATGATTGGAATGTTGAAAGCAAATTCAAGCGGAAGATAGAGAATCCATATAGAATAATGATAGGAGAATAATGAGTGGATGCGCGAGCGCCACTGTTTGCGACACCTAGCCTTATCACTCAGTGTATTTAACCATCGATGACCATCATCCCGAGGTCCCCAGCCAAGGAGCCTATGTGAACTAGTCTCCCGGTTAGGGTTTTCATACCCTCATGCCAGGTCTTAGTTTGACCACCCTTGATCTTTTTCTAACCGCTACCAGCCTTGACAAACATCGCTCGTCGTGGCAACCTATTTGGTGACACGCGTAAAGCATACCCCAACCAACGTAACCTGGGGAGGTAGATCAATTGCTCTAGCGGACGACCGCGAATGCCTAAAACTTCACGCCTAATCTCAGCCTTGCTCGTCTGGTTACCCCACCAGACTCGTGCAATGCGACGTAGACAGCGGTGATCGAACACCGACAATCTATTTTTATCTTGTTTCCGTAATGGCCAAGTATCTGCACCGTAAAGCAGAACTGGCCGAACTGCTACAGCATATACTCGACCCTTCACAGAGCCGGATGTCGCGACGGCGCCATAAATGTATCAAGTTGGCAAGTGCCAATCGAGCCTTTTGTATACGCGCCGACACTTCGTCGGTGATGCGTCCGCCAGGTGAGATATAACTTCTCAGATAGCAAAAATTGTCCATTTCCTCTACTACCTCCCCAGTCAGAGTAAGACTGGGTACTGGGCCAACCCAGTCATGTAGTAACATCTTACACTTTGAAGGTGCAAAACGCATACCGAACTTGGATACACTGGCACTCAAACTATGCAGAAAAGCTTGTAACTTACCGTGATCTTCACTTAGTAGCACAATGCCGTCTGCATACTCTAGATCAAACAGTCTGCCACCTGGAGCCAAATCGATACCGCTATCGTCGCACGAGGATAGGGCTGTTTCAAGAATTGAATTTATCACGAAGTTAAATAGAAACAGAGAGGGCAACCCTGTCGAATACCACTTTCTGTGGTGAACTGGGGTGAAAAGTGTCGTAAGCTCGGACTCGATTTCGGCTATGAGTATAAAGCGATTAACATTAGGGCACTCCCTTCAGGGAAAGGCAGCGTCAAGGTGCAGTCCCGTCGTGATGGGTTTGAAGTCAGACTGTTTGTCTAACAAATCACAGTACAATAAACCTTGTAGAAAGAAAAAGGGTCTATGAATTCTAGAGCACCGACATTCTTTTCGTGGACCTACCATTTCTATCTTCCTCGATCTGAAGGTGGCTGTCGACTCAATCGACCGCTCTAAACTCTGACGCTGCCTACCGCTACGTCGCACTGCACGAGTCTGGTGGGGTAACCAGACGAGCAAGGCTGAGATTAGGCGTGAAGTTTTAGGCATTCGCGGTCGTCCGCTAGAGCAATTGATCTACCTCCCCAGGTTACGTTGGTTGGGGTATGCTTTACGCGTGTCACCAAATAGGTTGCCACGACGAGCGATGTTTGTCAAGGCTGGTAGCGGTTAGAAAAAGATCAAGGGTGGTCAAACTAAGACCTGGCATGAGGGTATGAAAACCCTAACCGGGAGACTAGTTCACATAGGCTCCTTGGCTGGGGACCTCGGGATGATGGTCATCGATGGTTAAATACACTGAGTGATAAGGCTAGGTGTCGCAAACAGTGGCGCTCGCGCATCCACTCATTATTCTCCTATCATTATTCTATATGGATTCTCTATCTTCCGCTTGAATTTGCTTTCAACATTCCAATCATCATTCTGCTCTTTTATCCAAATGGGGCACCAAAATACAGCAACCAAAACCGGCGCACGGGAGTGCATGGTTAATAGTTGTAAAAACTGAACTGAACTGAATCGCTCTTGGCATTTCTTCATGCCTCGCTTCCATCTCATCTGTTGACCTCCACGCGGTTTCTTCCAATCTAGAGCCGCAAATGCGAATAGGGCGTGATGTGGTAGACGACGGCTTGACATGCGCAATACGTGTCCTCACCAGCGAAGCCGACTAATATGAATCCGATGGGACAACGAATTCTCCATCGAATCATTACCAAATACGCGACGCCTCACCTCAGAGTTGCTTACAAGACCACTGCATCCAACCTGCGCCAAACTGCGTAAACATCTGCAGTCGAAAAATTCTCGACGACGAATATTTTCCACGCGCAAATTTAGGGTCCCTCAAACACAGAGTAGAACTGACCGCACACTGGCGCAGTATACACGACTTTTCGGTTTCAACCAAACATTGCGTCTGCACCAAAGGTGTTTCGTGTCTTGGAAATGCAGGCGGTTACTTCATGAACTACGCTACTGTCATTTGAAACGCAGCTACCTAATTAGGTGAAACATTTCACTACAACTAATTCGTGACCATGAAGTATTAGTGCTGGGGTAGACGACACCCAGTCTTGTAGCATCGCTTTGCACTTTGAAGTTGCAAAGCGCATGCTGGAAGGAGATACAGAACTTGAAAGTTTGTCAAGAGCGCATTGACTATCCTCCATAGATTCGAACAGGTATACGATGTCATCAGCGTATTCTAAATTGCACATCATCATCATAATCGTACAGCGAAATTCACTGATCGCTGCCAAACTCACAATACAATAATACAAGATTAGTGGGAAAATTTATGGTGTACAGGGATTGGATCTATTTTGAAGGTGGGAGAAGATGAGCCACTATATTCAACACATAAAGTATGCAATCGAACTCGATACACATACAATCTCATGCATTCTGACCTGAGAAGAAACGACAACAAGAACGTCACTGTTGCCGGTTCGCTGCCGTATCCTTCAATATCTCCAACTAACCATTTGTGGAGTCTTTCGGACCCCAACCTGGAGGGTGAGAGACACCAGCTCTACTTAATGGCTCTGTGCGATTCTTCACGCCTCGTTTCCACACCATCTGTTGACCACGTGGTTTTCTCCATCCCGGATCAGCTACAGCGAATAAAGCGCGGTGCGGTGGACGAAGGCCGGGCCTACGCAATACGTGCCCTAGCCAGCGAAGTTTACTAATCTGAATTCGGTGTGCTAGCAGGTTTATACCTGATAAACTCTCAAACACACGACGGCCTACCTCTACGTTACTAGCCCGCTCGCTCCATCCAACATGAGCTAAACTGCGTAAACACCGATAATCGAAAACTTCTAGTCGACGGATATCTTCTACTCGTAAATTCAGGGTCTTACAAGCATAAAGCAGGACTGAACGAACGCTAGCACAATATACATGACTTTTC